GCCCTTGGTTCCCCTAAACCCTTGCCCCCACAGACCCCAAATCCTTGACCCCCATAAACCTCAAGCCCTTGACCCCACAGACCCTAAATCCTTGACACCTCAAACCCTTGACCCCCATAGACCCCAAATCCTTGGCCCCTCAAGACCCCAAGCCCTTGGCTCCCCTAAACCCTTGGCCCCACAGACCCCAAATCCTTGGCCCCTCAAACCCAAAGCCCTTCTCTCCACAAATCCCAAACCATCAGTTCTCAAGACCCCAAACCCTTGGCCCCACAAATCTCAAATCCTTGATCCCTCTAAACCCCAAATCCTTGACACCTCGAACTCGAAGCCCTTGGCCCCACAGACCCCAAATCCTTGGCCCCTCAAATCCCAAGCCCTTGACCCCACAGACCCCAAATCCTTGGCCCCTCGAACCCCAAGCCCTTGGCTCCCCTAAACCCTTTACCCCACAGACTCCAAATCCTTGGCCCCTCAAACCCCAAGCCCTTGACCCCACAAATCCCAAATCCTTGGCCCCTCGGGACCCCAAGCCCTTGGTTCCCCTAAACCCTTGGCCCCACAGACCCCAAATCCTTGGCCCCTCCACCCCCAAGCCCTTGGCTCCCCTAAACCCTTGGCCCCACAGACCCCAAATCCTTGGCCCCTCAAGACCCCAAGCCCTTGGTTCCCCTAAACCCTTGACCCCACAGACCCCAAATCCTTGACCCCCATAAACCTCAAGCCCTTGACCCCACAGACCCTAAATCCTTGACACCTCAAACCCTTGACCCCCATAGACCCCAAATCCTTGGCCCCTCAAGACCCCAAGCCCTTGGCTCCCCTAAACCCTTGGCCCCACAGACCCCAAATCCTTGGCCCCTCAACCCCCAAGCCCTTCTCTCCACAAATCCCAAGCCATCGGTTCTCAAGACCCCAAACCCTTGGCCCCACAGACCCCAAATCCTTGACCTCTGACACCCCAAGCCCTTGACCCCACAAATCCCAAACCCTTGGCCCCTCAAGACCCCAAGCCCTTGGCTCCCCTAAACCTTTGGCCCTATAAACCCCAAATCCTTGACACCTCAAATCCTTGGGCCCCATAGACCCCAAATCCTTGGCCCCTCAAACCCAAAGCCCTTCTCTCCACAAATCCCAAACCATCAGTTCTCAAGACCCCAAACCCTTGGCCCCACAGACCCCAAATCCTTGACCTCTGAAACCCCAAATCCATGGCCCCTCAAACCTCAAATCCTTGGACCCCATAAACCCCAAATCCTTGACCTCTGAAACCCCAAATCCATGGCCCCTCAACCCTCAAACACTTGACCCCATAGACCCCAAACCCTTCATCCCCACAGACCCCAAGCCCTTGACCCCACAGACCCCAAATCCTTGACCTCTGAAACCCTAAATCCATGGCCCCTCAAACTCCAAACCCTTGGCCCTATAAACCCCAGACCTTTGGGCCCTCAAACCCCAAATCCTTGACCTGTGAAACCCCAAGCCCTTGACCCCACAGACCCTAAATCCTTGACACCTCAAACTCCAAGCCCTTGACCCCCATAAATCCCAAATCCTTGACCTCTGAAACCCCAAATCCTTGGCCCTCTAAACCCCAAACCTTTGGCCCCTCAAACCTCAAAACCTTGGAACCCATAAACCCCAAAGCCCTTGGCCCCACAGACCCCAAATCCTTGACCTCTGAAACCCCAAATCCTTGGCCCTCTAAACCCCAAACCTTTGGCCCCTCAAACCTCAAAACCTTGGAACCCATAAACCCCAAAGCCCTTGGCCCCACAGACCCCAAATCCTTGACCTCTGAAACCCCAAATCCTTGGCCCTCTAAACCCCAAACCTTTGGCCCCTCAAACCTCAAATCCTTGGAACCCATAAACCCCAAAGCCCTTGACCCCACAGACCCCAAATCCTTGACACCTCAAACCCTTGGCCCCACAGACCCCAAATCCTTGGCCCCTCAAGACCCCAAGCCCTTGGCTCCCCTAAACCCTTGGCCCCACAGACCCCAAATCCTTGGCCCCTCAAGACCCCAAGCCCTTGGTTCCCCTAAACCCTTGACCCCACAGACCCCAAATCCTTGACACCTCAAACCCTTGGCCCCACAGACCCCAAATCCTTGGCCCCTCAAGACCGGAGGGAATTAAAATTAAAAATTTAAAATAAATCCATGAGGTATTTGCGACCTTAACAAAACCCAAAGGGAAGGCAAAAATTTTTGGGCCCCCCCCACCTCCAGCCCCCGATGAGGAGCCGGGGGGGTCACCACGGGGCGTTAATTAAGGACCTTAACGAGCCACGAGCCCTCGTCACCCTCCCCTGGGGACCCTGATGTGACACCCCGAGGGATGTTTGAAGCTGCTCCACCTCCAACCCACGGGTCACCTCAGGAGCAGGGAAAACCAGCAACCCTTCACCCCATAGACCCCAAACCCTTGATCCTCATAGACCCCAAATCTTTGGCCCCTTAAACCCCAAGCCCTTGACCCCACAGACCCCAAATCCTTGACCTCTGAAACCCCAAATCCATGGCCCCTCAAACCCCAAACCCTTGGCCCTATAAACCCCAAACCTTTGGCCCCTCAAACCTCAAATCCTTGGAACCCATAAACCCCAAAGCCCTTGACCCCACAGACCCCAAATCCTTGACTTCTGACACCCCAAGCTCTTGGCACCACAGACCCCAAATCCTTGACCTCTGAAACCCCAAATTCACTGCCCCTCAAACTCCAAACCCTTGGTCCTATAAACCCCAAACCTTTGGCCCCTCAAACCTCAAACCTTGACCTCTAAAACCCCAAACCCTTGGCCCCTCAGACCCCAAATCCATGGTCCCCCACCAGCCCCAAGCCCGCACCCTCCGAGGACAAGGGGGGGTTTCTCTTCGAGCGCTCCCTTGAGGCCACATCCCGCAACTGCAGCATCTTCTCTCAACTGGGACAAAGGGGAAATTAAAAAACACAAAAAAAAAGTCAAAATGGGTTTATTTTATAAAAAAAAGGAATTTGTACAATTTTAGTTCCTCTATGAAAAAAAAAAACAAAAAACAAAACAACCAAAACCAACCAACCAACGAAACTTCCTACCGCTGCCGTAATGCTTCGATCCACTGCAAACTGGAACAAAACAAAAAAACCAAGCTTTTTTTTTTTTTTATATATATTAAAAAACAATTTTACATTTTACAATTTTCTACACGCATGCACAAGGTCTCGGCTCTGCGGAAAAAAAAAAATAAAAAATTCAAAAATCAACCCCCCAAAAAAAAATAATCCAAACCCAAAAATGAACGAAAAAGGGGTTTATTCTTCTTAAATTCCAAGTGGACCCCCCCCTACCCTCGCTGACCTGACTCGCACTCACTGAAGTCGTTTTTTTTGCAGTAAAACACCCCAAAATGGGCTCCCAGCGGCGGCGCTGATGGAGCTGGGGGGGGATCAGGGGGGTGAAACCCAGGTCCTTCAGCCTCAAGAGGCTGGAAGACGAGGGGAGCCCAGGCAGGGTTTCGAAAGTCCCCAAAAGTGAGATTTTCCTGGAAATTAGGACCACCCCCCCCCCCCCAGGACCCTTCTTAGCATCTTAATGGTGCTACTGGTGCTTACTGGGGAAGCCCCTCTGGCCCAAGCGGCATCACTGTGTGTCCCCCCCCAACCCCTTCCCAAACTCACACCTTTTTTTTTTAGTGCTTCGGACAAAAATAAACCAAAATCAAATCCAACCCCAAATTTGGAGGCTCCCACGATCAAACCAACCCCCCCTCTCCTTGCCCTTAAATTCCACCCCCCCC